GTTTGGGATGCTGCAGCAGTGCAAGCTAGCAACAGTCACTTCAGTGCAAATTCGATTCCTGGCCCCGGAGGTGACCCATATGGCAGATCTCTTCTGTCTTGCCTGCTGTTCTCCTCAGCAGTATATGCTGTCTATCTGCCTGTTATGCTCCCCACTCTGTCTCTGGTGAATACCTCACCACCCCTGCACCTCTGGCCTGTACCCCAGTTCTATATGCATAAATAAATACATCTTTTAAAAAAATAAATAAAATACCATGGGTGAATCCAGGATGGAGACATCTGCTTCCCAGGCTGCTTATGAAGAACAAGCAGGGGAAATTTGCTTTGTCCACGTGGGCGTGAGTGCAGATGTCTCTTGAGTTGGAGCTCTGCCAGAGACCCAGACCCACCTCTGCTTGGGGAAACTGAGTTTGGGGAAATGGGCTCAGAGCCTAGAGGGGTTGAGGGGAGTTACTTGCTTCCCTCTGGGATTATAGGGTTTGCCCCTGTTGAAAGGAATGCTGGTAAAGTCACTCCTCATTCTCCTGTGTTCATGAATCTATTCCAGAGAATCCCAGACAAACTTCTAATTATACAAAAACAGTTCTGAGAAAAGCTGAGAAAATTTGGCTTTGGGGGGAAAATCTATTTTTGGATGTTGGCATGTTTCTAAAATTATTAAGATCATCTTCAAGCTGAACTGGCAGAGGGCAGAGACGTAGGCTGTCGTGCAGGGAGGAGGTGAGAAGGACTGTGCCATGCAAGGCAGAGGCTGAGTGGGAGTGGAGCCATGTGGGGTCCCTCTAACCTCTAACCTCTGAGCTGCACAGAACAGGAAGTGTTGGGCTGGCTGACCAGTACAGACCGCTGGTGAGTCTGTGGGGTGGTTCTGCCGTTCATTCTTGTTTGTTTGCCTGACTGTGAAGATGAATGGAGTGTTTAAGGCACCTGCTACAGCACTCTCCTCACTCTCAGCTGCTCCCTGAGTGGCTCATGGTCAGCCCTTTATAGTGACCTTGCCAAGGCCCAGAGGCCTCGAGAGACCAAGTCTTCTGACCCAACAGTAAGCTCAGAAGCTGGGGCAACCCAGACAGGACTCTGGCTCCTCCTTTTCCCTGTTCCATTTTGGCAACTCCTTAACAATACTGCTACTCAGAAAGGGAAATTAGGGCAAAAATGTGTCCTCTCTGTATTTACAACCCCTTCTTGTAATTATTTGAGCTTCTTTTATGCACAGCACCAGTTATTTATTTTAAATCTCACCCCTCCTCACTCTGTGCCTTGTGGAGCTTTCCTGGCCCCGCTTGTGGGAAAATCTGGGAATGCAGGGTCTGGTTTGGGAATCTCAGAAGCTGGAGTTTCCGGGGTTGAGATGAAGAGAGTGAGCCAGCCCTGGCATGTCCTTGGCTTCCAAGATCAGTAGGAATCTAGGAAACTGTGAGGAGGACTTGGAACCTGTTGGGAGGTAGCCAGAAGGGCCACAGAGGACCTGGGGAGTGTGGCCCAGGTG